ATATATAATGTATATATATACACAATACACACACACACACACATACATTTATTATAAACAAAATTGTTAATTAAATAATATTATTGTGAATTTAATTGATTTATAGACAAAGGAGAAATATGGAAAGGAATGCAAGATATGTATGCGACCATTTACAGTATTTAGATGGTGTCCGGGAGCAAGAATGAGATTTAAGAAAACTGAAGTCTGTCAGACATGTAGTCGATTGAAGAATGTTTGCCAAACATGTTTATTGGATTTGGAATATGGTTTGCCTATTCAAGTTCGCGATGCTGCTTTAAAAATTAAGGATGATTTACCACGGTCGGATGTAAATAAGGAATACTATGTACAAAACATAGACAATGAAATTGGAAAAATTGATCCGACAACACCTGCTGGTGCTGTAGGCAAGTCTGCTGCGGCTAGTGATCTGCTGATGAAACTGGCTAGGACGAGTCCTTATTATAAGAGAAACAGACCACACATTTGCTCGTTTTGGGTAAAGGGTGAATGCAAGAGAGGCGAAGAATGTCCTTATCGACATGAAAAACCAACAGATCCTGATGACCCATTGGCAGATCAGAATATAAAAGATCGTTATTATGGTGTCAACGATCCAGTGGCAGATAAACTAATGCGTAGAGCAGCAGCTATGCCTAAGCTAGATCCACCAGAGGATAAATCCATCACAACGTTATACATTGGTAATCTGGGTGACATATTAACGGAAAAACAGCTGCGCGATCACTTCTACCAATATGGCGAGATTCGTTCAGTGACCATGGTGCCGCGTCAGCAATGTGCCTTCATCCAATATACGCAGAGAAGCGCTGCCGAAGCGGCAGCAGAAAGGACCTTTAATAAATTGATATTGGGTGGAAGGCGGCTCACTATAAAATGGGGCCGTTCACAGGGAAGGCAGACGGTGTCGGCGGCAGAAGCAACAAGAGAGATCCTCGAACCTGTTCCAGGATTACCTGGCGCATTACCACCACCACCACCATCGGAAAGCATGAGTAGCAACTTCTTCAATCTGCAAACTACTCCTGGTATGATGCCGCCAATGATGATTCCACCACCACCAGTTGCTCCTCAATTTATGTTTCCACCGCAAATAGCAACTGCTGCTGCTGCTGCTGCTGCTGCCGCTGCCGCTGCTGCTGCTGCTGCACCAATTTTTCCTCCAGGAACTACCCCCATTCATTATCCAAGTCAAGATCCGTCCAGGATGGGTGCGTCACAGGGTATAGGCAAACCTTGGCCAGAGGAATAATATCATAATGCTATATGTCAATTTTTTATCGAATTATATAACGTTATTTAAAGAAAAATATATCATTTTTGTCCATACTGATTTCTCTCCTTTTTTTATATATTAACGATTCAAATATATCTGTCGCGATGTATTTGCATTGTGTTACGCGAAAGAGTATGAGACCTACGTCATTTTTGTTGTATATTTGTTGGTATGACAATATTGATTTTCAGCTTGAGCTAAATCAAGTTCTTTCTGTACTACAGCATTGTCCTGTTTAGTTGACGTCCAAAATGTGGCAAGACAACCAAGTCAAATTTGATATTTCTCATTCGTAATTATAAAATTTAATTATCTTTAAATTATTATTCAGTTCTTAGCTTTTACAATACTAATGTAGTTTTAAGTTTTGTTTTATAACTACGTCAAATAGTATGTTCCGCTCACTTGGACAAACGCGAAAGTAAAGTAATTAAATAGCTACATTAGTGCTAAATGTGCTGAGTGAAAATAAATTATTAAATAATACGGCGAAAATATTAAATTTTTTTTGCATGTAGTAATATGCAACTTCGACCTGGTGAACTTACCGTTGACAAACTTGATATGATAGAAGATACAAAAGGCAATGGTGGGGATTTAGGAAGACTAATTGTCACCAACTTGAGAATCATATGGCATTCTTTATCCTTGCCACGAATTAACTTAAGTATGAAACGATTAGCGCACATATATACAAATATAATTTTAAACAATAAGTAAGAATATCGATAGATATATACATATATGTGAACAATACAAATAAACGAAGAAAGTTTTATTTGAACAAAGTAGATCTTTTAAATATTTTTTGCATGAATTTTACAATTTCCGGTTTCCCAGTAAATGAGAATGAATTGAAATTGGTTGAAATGAATTTAGATTTTCAGAAATATGCATTTGTGAACGTTGAAACGAATTCTTTTCAATTCCAATGCATTGTTATTCATTTCTAGAAAATGCATTTCTGTGCTTTTTAATTAAAAAATAATATCGGTTTTTTTAAAGTGAATCGTGAATGCTGCTCAATTAAAAAATCTGAATAGGAAATTTAGATTTTTTCAATCCAATTAAATCTAGTTAAATCCAATTGAATCTAACTGAATTTGATTGAATCCAAAAAAGGTTTTTTTTTTATTTAACATACGCATTTGGATAAATAAAATTTCAGTCTATTTTAATTTATTCTCGTTAACTGGGTTCTGCAAACTACACGCTGACTATTTATTAACACTACAGTGTTTTAAGATGCTCGTCATTAGCATCTGACTGACAATAATTGACGTGCAGTTTGCATAAATTGCAAATTGCACGTAAAATTCATGTAAAAAGAATATATTATTAGGCACTTAGATCGGCTGTTTTGTGACCAAATAAGGCTTTCTTCGCTTGTTTGTTTTATAATTTTTAAGTTATAATCTGTCATGTATAGTAACTATCCAGTAAACAAGAATGAATTGAAATTGATTGAAATGGATTCAGAATTTTAAAAGTACATATTCGCGAACGTTGAAATCAATCTTTTTCAATTTTAATGCATTTTTTTATTCATTTATAGGAATTGCATGCAGCACATTTCTATGCCTTTCGATCTCTAAAAGTGAATCAGTATCATATTATCACTTACTTCAACAGTGATCACGGTGAGCAGTATTCACGATGCTTAAAAAAACTGATATTAAGTTTTACTCTGTAAAAGTGAATGATCAATATACGTATTACTGATTTCAGTGCTATGAATGCAGTGAATGATCAATATACGTATTACTGATTTCAGTGCTATACTTATAACTGATATAATCATCAGCGAATATTTACTATTTTTCAGTAATAATACACTGATTTACTTTTAGAGATTATGATTTTCTGCAGATTTCTATATACCATAACTTTTAAACATGAATCAGTGTATTATTATTGAAAAACAGTAAATATTTACTGATATTACAGTTATAAGTGTAGTATTACTGATGATCAGTGATAATACGTACACTGATCATTCACTTTTACAGACTAAAACTTAATATCAGCTTTTTTAAGTGTATCGTGAATACTGCTCATTTAAAAAAATCTGGAAATAGGAAATACAGTTTTTTAGTCTAATTGCATTCAACTGAGGCTGTGTTCCAAAATTCACTATCAGCGCTGAAAATCTACAGTTTACGTTACGTATACTATACATTTTCAGCATACATTCACTGACAGTGAATTTTGGAACACAGTCTGAATAAACAAAATTTCAAATTTTAAATATGCATTCGTTTAGAAATAAAATTATAATCCATTTTAATACATTCTCGTTTACTTAGTTATGTTTTTCTAAAGAAAAAAAGTGATTAAGCAACGATTTTATAGGTATAGGCTATAATACATTTATCACAGTGAATACGAAAATTCTTCATACGGTAAGAACTATTTTAGCATGAACATTAATAGGGAGTTTGCATAATTTTTGAAAAATATTGCATTTTATAATTTATACATATGTGTGTGTGTGTGTGTGTGTGTGTGTGTGTGTGTGTGTGTGTGTGTGTGTGTGTGTGTGTGTGTGTGTGTGTGTGTGTGTGTGTGTACACACACATATATATCTTTAACTGCAATTTTTTAATAATTTTTTAACGCAAATTATGCAAAAAATAAAAAAGTAAATTATTGCATTATTTGAAATGCCGAAGATGATCCGAATACAACCGAGTCTTCCTGAACGCGCTATGACATCACACTGCACAAAGAAACCACAATTATTCAGTAAGAAATTAATTTATTTTAAAAATGAACAAAGGAAACGTACAAAATTTCGTACCTATGTATAAAAGCACAACAATTAAAATACCTGAAAAATTGTTCTTTTATGTGTCTCAAGCTGAAAATGTGAAAAAAGAATGGTTTAAAAGTGTACATCGTGTTGATGAACCAAGGAAATGGAATTATTTTTATTGTGAAGATCATTTCGATGTAGGTTTTATACAAAATATGAGGTCTGATAAAAAAATAAGCGAACTTTTTGAATTACTCGGCAACGAAACGTCTTAGCGACGTGCAGTTTGCAGTATTACAATCGTTATAATCTTCCGAGTAACTGGCTTTTAAAAAATTGTTTACATCTCGTTTAGTTTTATTGTATCCGAGTTATTGTTATTTGAGTGCAACGTGTTTTAGTGTTCGTGACGCCTTGAACTAAATTTTTATTTTGAGAAATTGATTTTAATTTTGGGAACAAGAAAAAGTCGCAAGGAGCAAGGTCTGGAGAGGCTAAGGGAGGACAGTCATCTGATTTTTGGCACAAAACTAGCACTTCAACCGCATTTTAAATTTCTCATATTGATTGTGTTTCTCACATATATCTAAAACAAAGATTCTTATTGTTTGGTTTTTTAAACTATTGCTCTCGAATATTTTAACCTTCTGATGCTACACATTTAATTGACAAGGCTGAGTGGGTAGACGCATTGTCATGGTGAAGGAACCATGAGTTGTCTCACCACAACGGTCTCTTTTTGCAAATTTTTTTGCGCAATATTTTCAAAACGCCATCGTACTGACGGTTGATTGTTTGACCTTGAGGCAAAAATTGCAAAAATTTATTTCGAGGTAAAAATCGCCACGAATACTAAAACACGTTGCACTTAAATAGCATATTGCATGCTCATTTTTTGCGCACGCTGGCTGTGTGTTTGTATTTTAAAAACATTAAATAAAATTTTTTAATTGCAATACTGATATACTTTGTGTTTTACTATCGATTTCTCGGGGCATCTCATATTAGGAGCACAATTTTTTGACTTTACGATTTGCTCACTTTTTACACTTCCTTAATTTAAAAAAAAAAATCGAATTTGAATTAAATTTTATATAATGTTATTTTAAAACTTAATTAAATTTCTATCTCAAAATGACCTATTATTTTTTAAAATTCTGCTTATAGACTTCTATCATTTACCCAAAATGAACTCAATATTTCATAGTAGAAGCCTTCCTTCTACTTTTATGAAATAAAAATTTAGTTTTTTAATACGAGAAATTTAAAATGCCTATTACGGTCGAAGCTGGATCTTCATTGCTTAAAATAATTCAATCTTGAATTACTAGAATATACTATATATGTACTTGCATATATACCATATTGTAATCTTTTCAAACTACGCGCCGAATTGTTTTTCCGGACTAAATGCAATTAAAACTACTCTAATAATCGCGAACTAAATTGACAAGTAATTTTAATAATTTAAAGGTAATATTTTTTGCAATAAATTTATTAATACATTTCAATATATTAACATCTTTATAATACGAGTATGATACTTGATTGTACCTTCAAATTATTAAAATTGCTTAATTTAATTCGCGATTACTTCGACCGCATTTTAAATTTCTCGTACTGATTGTGTTTCTCACATATATCTAAAATAAAGATTTTTATTGTTTGGTTTTTTAAACTATTGCTCTCGAATATTTTAACCTTCTGATGCTACACATTTAAACCCAGTAAAAAATTTTTCATGCATGAATATATAAATATGTATAAACATACATAAACACGCATAAATATTCATAAACATGTTTAATTATTATATATATGTATGAAATATGTCCATACATGTTTATACATCCTTTTTTCTTTTGTAAAATTACTTTTTAGTATAATAAAAATAATAATAGTAATATGAAAATATTAAAAATAATTAAAAAGGTAATTTTCGCAAACTATTTGTTTTAGAAAAAATCAAGTTTGGAACAATGTAAAAAAATTGCTCATACATAATTGTGCATATTTTATATATAATTATACGTAATTTTTTTTCTTTAAACATGATTTTTTTCTAAAACAAATAGTTGCGAAAATTATTTTTTTAGTTATTTTTAATGTTCTTACATTACTATTATTATTTCTATTACACTAGAAAGTAATTTTACAAAAGAAAAAAGGATGTATGAACATGTCTGGACATATTTCATATATAATTATACTTGTTTATGTATATTTATAGATATTTATACATATTCATGCATGAAAAATTTTTTACCGGCAGATATTTTACGCGTTGAACTATTAATTTTTCTTCGTCGACAATACAGCTATTGTAGTATAATCTTTTTGTCGAACTCGGTGTTCAGGACAGATTCTTCCTTTTATTGTACAATTGAATTACAGAGTAATAAGGAGACCAAACTCGAGGTCTGAAAATGGGTTCAAAACACGATGTCGGAAAACCTATGGAAAATCGATGTGATTTTAGTGCCATCACGTCTTGCGAGAAAAGTTAGTAGAACTGTTGGAAAATACTTTAGTTCACAATTTTCTCCGATAGGAGTGCTCGAATTTGTTCTGCCACACAGCGTTTTTTCGACACTGTGTTTCGAGCAATTGTTTTCGGGACCGACCGCTTGAGTTTAGTCTCCTTATTACTCCGTGAATAGAACCTTCCCGTTTGACGTTAACATAACCTATAAGTTATACTCCGCTAAAACGAAATCAGTGTAATTTTCTCTTGATGATCTATAGTAGATACATTAATTGTAATATTTATTCATGCTACTTACAATTAGAATAAAACAAAAAATTACCACTGTAATAAGAATTAAAAAGATATATTTTTAGGATTATACTTACACAGTTGCTTTTATTCCTCGAACTTCTGGAGCATGATATCGCTCATCACTAACAATATACTCCCAAACCATAAATATAGTTATTTTTGGTAAATTCGTTAAATCGACTTTAATGAATCCTAGATCCAGTTGATTTGACATTTTATTTTAATATTCTTAATTTATAAAGAGATTTTTAAGAAGAGAATTTTAAGATTTCGTTTTAGCCTTCCAGCGTATCCGATAAAAAATGTTTCATGCATGAATGTGTATAAATATATATAAATATGTATAAATATACATAAACACACATAAATATTCATAAATATGTATAATTATATATGAAATATGTCCATATATGTTCATACATCCTTTCTTTTGTAAAATTACTTTTTAGTGTAATAGAAATAATAATAGTAATGTCAAAACATAAAAATTAATTAAAGGGATAATTTTCGTATTATTTGTTTTATAAAAAAAAAGTTTGAAAAAATGTAAAAAAAATTGCTCGTACATAATTATGCATAATTTTATATATAATTATACATAAATAATTTTTTTACATTTCTTCAAATTTGATTTTTTCTAAAACAAATTGTGCGAAAATTACTTTTTTAATTATTTTTAATGTTTTCATATTACTATTATTATTTCTATTACACTAAAAAGTAATTTTACAAAAGAAAAAAGAATGTATGGACATATTTCATATACAATTATACGAGGTCTGTTCAAAAAGTATCGCGAATTTTGTGTTTTTTCAAAAATTATTTATTTATTCATGAATATTTATTTTGTCCCCTTCAAAGTAATCCCCATCAAATATTATACACTTGTGCCAACGTTTTTTCCAATCCTCGAAGCACTTCAAAAAATTATTTTTTGTGATCTTGTTCAGCTCCTCCTTCGATGCCGTCTTTATCTCCTCAATCGTAGCGTAGCGTCGTCCTTTCATGGGCCTCTTCAGTTTCGGGAACAAGAAAAAGTCACAGGGGGCCAGATCTGGGGAATACGGTGGCTGCGGCATCATTAGTGTGTTGTTTTTGGTCAAAAATTCGCGCACAAGCAACGATGTGTGAGCAGGGGCGTTATCATGGTGCAAAAGCCAATTTTTGTTCTTCCACAAATCCGGGCGTTTCTGGCGGATTGCTTCGCGCAAATTGCGCATAACTTGCAGGTAATATTCCTTATTGACCGTTCCGATTGGCCAATACTATTTTCTTCACTTCATCAATGTTGTCGTCTGTTGTTGACGTGCTCGGGTGTCCGGCACGCTCTTCGTCGTTCACATCTTCTCGGCCCTCTGAGAACATTTTGTACCACCGATAAACGTTGCTTCGGTCCAAGGTAGCTTCACCATATGCCACAGTCAACATTCGTAATGAGTCCGCGCACTTAATTTTGTTTTTCACACAAAATTTGATACAGATTCTTTGATCCATTTTTTGGAATAGGCAAAAATCGAAGACGAGCCAAAACACGTGTAAGCAAAGTAGCTGTCAAAAATTAACTGAACATTCAAAATGGCTGAACTTGTCGGCATAAGTGAGAGACATGAAGACCAACATAACGCCACAAAAAAATCGAAAATCGAATATACGTAACCCGCGGAAATTCAAAATTCGCGATATTTTTTGAACAGACCTCGTACATGTTTATGAATAATTATGTGTGTTTATATATATTTGCATATTCATGAATGAAAAATTTTTTACCAGGTAAGCAAACGGTTGTAGATTATTGCAGTGTAACATCACGCACTTCTTAGCCAATCAAAATTGTGTTTTCTCAAATTTAAAATATTATTAAACTTTATTTTAGTTTTTTAGTACCTACCTATTGCTAAAAATTATAAATTTTATTATATAAATTTATATTTAATAATACATATTTTCATAATAAAAAAAAATATATTATTTTTTCATGCAAACTCCCTATTGTTGAAATAAAAATAATAAACGAAAGTTTACTTTTTAGATTCATGGTGTATATGTACAAGCTCTTCACATATTAACTTCATTTCGAAATTGTCGATATGAATTCATATTTACAAATCACGACATTAAAAGTACGAGACACTACACTTCGGTTATAGGTGTTTATAGGTGAAGAACATTTTTTTTATTATATTGCAGTTACTGCCGTAATTATTCATGCAAAGCATTTGTTATAGAGCTTACGTGTCATCGAAAATCTATAGAGAAATTAAATTGAGGAGTGGTATTATATGTGAAAATCGGCTGGTTTTATTACCTCAAGAAAAGGTGCACTCCTCTGTGAAGGATATTTGGAATTTATCTATTGAACAGGTCTCTATTGAATAATTAATTATCTATCGAATCCCTGGTAAAAAAAATTCTCATGTTTTTAAGAATTTTTTATATTTTAAATTTATATATAATGAATAGATTTTCAAAAAAATATCTAAAACTTCTTTTAATTTTGAATAATAATAAATTTGAATAGTAATAAAAAGGCAATAGGAGTCGTCGCTAGATATAATTGCGCAATATCAAAAATTAAATTATTTTACATACGATGTTACAATAATTCGAACGGCATATGTATATACATACTAAGTTACAATAATTTAAATAGTCTGAACGTTTCTGCCCGTTGAATGTGGACATTTTATTTTACCATAGATATGTATGTAGATGACATATGTACTGTAGTTTCTCCCTCAAAAATTGATATTTTGTTACATTTTAATTCATTTCATCCACGTCTTCAATTTACTATAGAAATAGGGGAAAAATTAGATTTTTTGGATACTACTATATTTATCAGTAAGAATCGATTCGTTTTCGATTGGTACTGCAAATCTACTTTCTCAAGGAGATTTTTAAATTTCCACTCAAATCCAATTGCACAAAAGGTACAATTTTTTCGCTAGTTGACAGAGCTTTTTTACTTTCTAACTTTATGTTTCACATAAAAAATTTGACATTTATTATTAACGTTTTATTAGATAATGACTACCCATTACTAACTTTTATTTTTGACACAGTTAATCAACGTATAAAAAATTTACTTAAAAATAGACACATAGTATGAAAAGATTTGGTTGACAATGTCTGCGCGAATGAATCTGCATCTTGGCTTACCAAATCATGGTACCATTTATTCCTTTTCACACAAAAAAATTTAAACGGTTCAATAAAAACGACATCAGGGTATCTTTTCATAGTCCTAATAAAATGGGTAAATATATTAAAGTACAAAAGAATATTTGTCCCTATACATCTAAGAGCAATGTAGTTTATAAGATTTCGTGTAATAATTGTGATGCGTCGTACGTTGGACAGACGGGTAGACAATTGAAAACCAGAATTACAGAACATCGTAATCATAGATATAACACTTCTGTCTGTTCTGTCATAACGAAACATAGGCTGCAGTATGATCATGATTTCCAATGGGACAATGTTAAAATTTTGAATGAAGAGCCTTGCTATAGGAAACGTTTAATTTCTGAGATGCTCAATATTATTGTAAATAGCAGAAAAATAATTTAAATTTACAAACTGACGCTGAAGGTCTTCACAAGGCTTATATTCCTATCATAAATAAAGTTTGACTTTTTGTTACTAAAAGTCCATCTCTTCTCTCAGTCTGTGGTGATCCATATTAGCGAGCGTACATAATAATCGACATATAATGTTCGTCTTACACATCTGCGTTCCATCTTTCTTTATATATTCTAAAAGTTTTTTATTCTTATATGGACACGCTTGTTTGAATATTTTACATATGATTTTTGATGAGTTTTAATACTTGTTAAAATTCCGGTACGTTAATTTGGTTGTGTTTATTTTTTCGTAAGAAGTCTTTCTCTTTTTTATCAACTAGAACTTTTTCCAAGAGATATGAAACACATTTAACTGTTCAATCGTATGTGAATAATGTCGAGTTCTACATCAAGATTCACCCGAGCTGTGATTATAATGAATATGCGAACATTTTTGACGATTAATTTTGTACAGCGATTTTTAGATAAGTTAATGTCTGAAGAGGGCTCAATCTGGTAGCCGAAACTTGTAATTTATTTGAATTTAAACTAAGTTTTTTATTTTATTTTTTCAATTTTACTTTTCTTTATTTGTAATTTATTCTTTTTAATTGTGTGACAATTAAAAAAATGTGTTTGACTCTTACTTTGCCCTTTATTGTTATTTATTTTGTATAGGAAAGAGTCCTTTAATCTGTTAAATGTCGCAGTAACATTGCGATCAATATGAAAAGGCAAAAGAAATAAACACATTATAATTTACTGAGAATTTCCATGTAACCATTGTTTAAGCCGTCCATGTTTATGTTAAAAACGTTTTTACGTTGGTCATAATCACAGAATTATACATCATTTCTGCTAAAAATGGCCCAAATATGAGCAGAAAAGTTCAGGCCGTTTAAATTATTGTAACCTAGTATGTACATATGTGCCGTTTGAATTATTGTAATATAGTAAGATAGTTTTAATTTTTGACACTGCGCAATTATATCTAGCAACAACTCTTATTACCTTTTTATTACTATTTACTATTATTCTAAATATAAGGAGTTTATTAATTTATTGTTTTTTTTATTGTAATTCTTCCAATTTTACTTCATTGGAAATTATAAAATGAGAAATTTTTAAGAGAATATCTCAACATTTAGATATATACATTTAAAAAATTCTAGAAAAGACGTAAATACATTTTTAAAAAGCTATAAAATTATGCAGAAATTCTTAAATAACTTTTATTTATAAAAGACTTTTATAAAAAAGCAAATAATTTTTACTTCATTCACTTTTTCGCAGTTAAAGAAACACGATTGAAAATATGAAATACGAAAAAAGATTTCGATCACAATAACATACATTAATAATGTTGTTCATAAATATTGAAATATTATTTTATAAAAGTTTAGTTACAGAAGTGTTTATGGTATACTTAACAAACATGATTTGGCACCTAAAAAAAAGTATTTAACACGCTCTCAAGACATAGTTATAATTGTATCGCGTTATAATGGATCATCGTTATGCTAAGTTTAAATTATTAAATTCTTTTGTTTGTATCCAACTAAGTACAACAAACGATAATGAAGTTTTTAATTTTCGACAACAGCCTAATGATGATTCAATGATTGTATCTGTCTATCTTTTTATAATATATTAATTTGATTCCAATATTGTTACTTATACACTGAGGAGGACTTATGATCAAATCGTCTGTAATTGGTGATTGACATATACTCGTACAGTGAGAACAAAAAGTATTCGTACAAGAAAATTTATTATAAAAAAGCCTTATTTGTAGAAAATAAACATTAATTAGCAATTTTATACAATGAATGCATTCTGTTCTAATATAAATAAACAAATGATTGCATGATTGCGATTTTAGAAACTAAATTTCTCGTCTGTACGAATACTTTTTGAGCATTTAAACAATACAATTTTTAATTTTCGCTTATTTTTGGAATGATATGTTAATTAACACAGATCATTTTGGTATATATAATTTTAAGAAACATACAGTCTATTTTATTCTTTATGAATAAATTGTTAATTATCCAATAAGAAATGATCGTTAATTAAACGTCGAATCGAATTGATGTTAAAATCATCGAATTTATATCGATTCGACATCAATTTGATGATTCATTTCCGGATAATATTTACTTTTTAAAAATGAAGTTTTTTTAAAAAAATATTTTCTCTGTACGAATACTTTTTGTACTCACTGTATATTATATTTGACTATACACATACAACTATGTCGATTCTCATTGGCATTAATTTTCCATTATTGATTAAATAGAAGGAGTTGTACAGACTGTCGATTTTTTTACGTAAAATATTATCCATTTAGACTGCGAAAGGATTACGTGCAATTTCTCTGTTTTAGATACTAAATTAGATATATCGAACAAAATATTTTCGTAGCCGAAAATGTTTAGAAAACAATCTTAAATAAGAAAATATTTTGGTCATTTACAAATGCAATTTTTCCCTTAAATTATTACATATATTATCGTTAATAAAAAAAAATATTGCTTTCAAGGGGAATATCGGAACTTTTATCATAACAAATATACGTTTGGTATGGTATGCGGATGTAAATTACCAATTTAATGTATCGATTCCTTATCTTACCATCGGAAATGTAAGTATTAAATTATGAATATGCATATAATAACGATAACAAATGATTTTCAGATTATCAGAAGTATTATATACAATATAATGTGTTTGGTTCTTTAATAGTAAAGTTTGGGATGTGTGCTAGCTCTCCAAAAGGCTCACCCAAAATTACAAGTATATCTATATAATTTGGATAAAATATTAAAATTATATGTATATTTTAATGCAGTGCTCGCAAAGATTTGTACATTTCGGGTCAATTCCGGCGAGCGATCCCCACTACCGCTTGAAGCTCGGCGGCCGAGCTGCTGGGCGCTCATGTGACGAGAAGTTTTTCTACAATATATTGAGAAGTTTCTATATCGTCTTTATGTAACTGTTTAACATTCTTTTTTAAACAATTACATAAAGACGGTGTTACATATGTTAAAGAGAATTAATAATTAACCGTTAGTCAAGAATTTAAAATGATAAAATTATATTCGCTTATAGAAGAAAATAATTATTGCGATATAGAATCCTTGTTACTTGAGACTTTGTAAGATTTCGTATAGAAAATACGGAATTTCCAGATTCAATCGTATTTCCTGACTTCAATCTTCGCAAGTCTGTTGTAGAAATTTCTCAATGTAAATTTATAACAATTATTGAATATTTTAAGATACGAAGCGCCTACCGATCTGAGTGTTAAGATGTTGAACTACTATATATTATGTACTTGTTTTAAAATGAATTAATTTTCAGAAATAATAATTGCGTGCAGATAAGATTATCGGACATTCACACAATCAATCTGAAACTAATAATCCCCCCAAAATTTCCCAAATCTTAAAAAACTGTAATAAACTCATTGTGAAAAATATTGTCTCGGCCGGGAGTCGAACTCGGATCTCTTGCATTCCATGCAAGCGTCCTAAGACTTTAGACTACCGAGACGAAATGCTCCCGGCCGAGGCAATATTTTTCGCAATGAGTTTATTACAGTTTTTTAAGATTTGGGAAATTTTGGGGGGATTATTAGTTTCAGATTGATTGTGTGAATGTCCGATAATCTTATCGGTACGCAATTATTATTTCAGAAAATTCATTTTAAAATGAGTATATAATATAATATATAGTAGTTCAACATCTTAACACTCAGACCGGTAGGCGCTTCGTATCTTAAAGTTTTGAAACGAATAATAATAAGTAACGGGCAAAGTAAGAGTCAACACATTCCTTTGGAATTAACAAAAGAATATATTTCAATTAACAAATTAAAATTACATAACGTAAAAGATTGAATCAAAATTAAGAAAATAATTACAAGTTACAAGTTTCGGCTATTGGATTGAGCTCTCTTCAGACAATAACATAACGAAAAAATCGCAGAACAAAATCAATTATTGCAAATGATCGCATATTCGTAATATTCACAGTTCGGGTGAGTCTTGATGTAGAGTTCGACATTATTTCCGTACGATTGAACTGTCAAATATATTAAAAAAAATTTTGGCAAAGCTCTAGTTGATAAAGAGAAAAACTTAAAAACTTTACACAAAAAGATCTACGCGTAAATGAATTAACATATCGGAAATCTAATAAAAAATAATAAAAAATCTAATAAAAACTCACCAGAAATCATGTGTAAAAAAATATACAAACGAGTATGTCCTTTCGAACGTGCTCTTCGTTCCTTGCGCAGTTAGGGTGAAATCACACGATGCGGATTAGGATTGCGCAATAGAGAATGCGTTATTGAAGCAACCAAACAGCACTTCCGCATTTGATGTTGCAGAACAGAGAGTGCGTCATTGTATGCTAAACCGTAAAGTCATTTAAATCGTGTTCTTGTAATAAACCGTTGTATTTTGAGAGGTTAAAATAATTTGAGGCTGATGATATAAATCGTGTAATGTTGAGATGAATGAAACAAAACGACAAAATCTAAGTGTATAAATATAGATATCAAAATAAAAAAACAATGACGCATTACATGCAATTTCAGCGCGCCAGTTCACATGATGCAGAAAAATTATAATAAATGCGTTAAAAAAGCAGTTCAAAATAATTGTTATGAGATTATAAATATTAATTGTAAAATATTAAATACTACAATAGTGATAATATTATAGTTTTTACAATTTGATAAATTATATTTCATTTTAATAAGCAAATTATTAACATAAAATAATCCAGATAGCAAGTTTCCCGCAATTTGCTATAAATTTAATAGAAGTTGTGTCGCCTGAGTTACCATTTTTTTTTTTTTTTTTTTTTTTGAAGAAAGTAGTTTCCAATTTTGCTTATGATATTGGCGGCAATATATATCATGAACAGTTATGCACAATCGGAAGGAAACAATTTTCCTCTTTTCTTTTATAAGTTTCGTAGATAAGACAATCGCACGGCAATATGATGAAAACTATTTCTACATAAAATAAATTTGCTAGCAATATGAAAGAAATTATTGCAGTAAAAAGGATTAACTTCTAACAATGCTTCCCAAAAAATCGACTCACAAGAGAACTTTAAGATACATTTAAGAGTTCTTTAAGAAATATCTTTAAGATATGTCATAAAGATATCTTAAAGTGATTTATGAGTTGATTTTAGACATTTTACTTATTTGGTTAGGTTGGTTACAGGTGTAAGGTACTACAAATCCGTTTTACAAATTTTAGACATTTTACTTATTTGGTTAGGTTGGTTACAGGTGTAAGGTACTACAAATCCGTTTTACAAATTAAACTAACCATCCTTATCAATCAAAGAACTGAAAAGGATATGAGCAATAGGAATCAAGCGCAGAAGACGTCGCGCAAATAATATATCTATGAAGTGTGAAACTTATTTATTCATTAAAACGCGCTTACATGTTTTGACTCACTTTTGAGCTTTCCTCACAGACAATACAAATTAACATAAATAAACTGTGAATAAAAATTATCCTGTCATGGTGAGCTCCTCTACCTCGAGAATTTAAATGTCAGAATTAAACCCAAAAAGAGTGAAAGAAAAATGAACGAAAAAAAGGAAATATCGAAATAGAGAATATGAAAAACTAATTTATCAAAAACTTTAAGATTATAATTAATTATCCCGAAAATAAGAACGCTTACCCTGATCACAAATCACAAACTATATCGTAAACATTACTATGAATTATTTAAAAACCGGTTCTCGATATTTTGGCCAGTCAGTATCAGACACAGTGAGTCACTTTTAGTTTTAGCTAGTATTATTGAAGCTCACAAATGAAAAATTTTACATTGAAATGTTAATCAATTCCATGAAAATGAAAGTTGGAAAGTAATAAAAAATCACGCCAGAAAGACTCATTACTGCGTACGAACGACACTGATTACTTCACGGGCTCATTTCAAAAAATTATATCATTAGAATACAGTTGAAAAATCTTTTAATGCTGCGTCTTTTATTTTATTCTATGTCGTTTTTTTTAAATCAAGAAATTTAACTCGATGCATCCCTCTGGTAGTGGTACCACATACTGCTCAACGACGGTCCATTTTCATTCGATTGATAAAAATGTGGATTAAATATTTTACAAAAATAATTTCCAACAGATTGTAGCAACATTTGGGAATAAGTTTGTTACAGCATTTCCGCTCGTTGTTTGTGCAAACAACCGTTGCTCGCATAATGTCTCTAGGTTGACCTAAACGAAATTATTATTGACCTAAACGAAATTATTATTGCCCTAGTGCAACATAATGGCAATTGAAGAGAAACTTGTGCTAAGCACCTATTTCTTTTCTTATGCCAAGGAACGTTTTATTATCTGAGATAATGTTTAAATTATATTAGGTGATTGGAGGGAAGACGCCACACTTTAACCTTTATTCTTGAGTAACTCTTTTTAATGTTATTGAATTAAGTTACAAAAAAATATTATTTGTATTGTAGAAATCTTTTTTGTTTACACAAATTTACAAATTTAATATTTCGTATTATTGAAAAAAAATTGATATGTCATATCTCATAAAAGTGGCATCTTCCCCCTATATATATGGATAAGATTCCACCTCCTATAAGAGAAAATGTCACAAACAATTATATAATGTAATGCAATGTAAACTTATATATTTTACTTATTTACAGTCCATACCCAGCAAACGAGAATGGATTAAAATTTTTTTAATGCGTACTTTAAATTTGTGTGTGTGTGTGTGTGTGTGTGTGTGTGTGTGTGGTGTGTGTGCGTGTGAAAATGGATTTAATGGATTGAAATGGATTGGATCCGAGCTGACATTAGTTTAATATTCGAAAAAAAAAAAAAAAAAAACATTCATATTTAAGGGTTACAAATTTTATTCTTAAGACATTTATAATAATTATACCTGAAATTAACTACTTTAAATTGGTATTAAAAAACGCACCTGTGGGATTTGAACCTAGGACCTCTGGAGTATGAATCTTTTACGTTACTCGCTACATCACTTCTTCAATTGGTAAATGTGTTATTCATTCCCTACTTTAATTACAACTAGCTAAACTAGTAACGAAATTATATAGATATAATAAAAATATTATTTAACAGATATAATAAAGTATAAACAATTTACATTACTATGAGACAACATGGGGTAAGTATCGGATAATCTAATCTCGCTTGGCCGATGTCGCGCCGTGATTAGCTTAATATTCGGGCTGTGTTCGATTTGGTTAGCGAGTGTTTACATCAATCATTCATTTTACTTCTAAGCAAAGAGAAACAAAAGAAGTAGTATTTACGATGCACAGAAAATGCTATTTTAACATTCATATGAATCCATATTTCTAAAAATCTGAATTCATTTTAATCCATTTTAATCCATTCTCGTTTGCTGGGTAATCAAGAGTTTAAGGGGATACTAAAGTCGTCCTACTTTATCATTATTTCTACTCGGTAAAAAATCTCCGAATTGGATTTACGGATTGCAAAATTGTTATTACAGAATTAAAGTACGCACAAACAATGCCTCAGTTGCACTGGATTTCATGAAAATTGAAAAAAAAATGAAAAAATTTATTTACTTTTGG